TCGGAATTATTCAAATTTCAACTTTTTGGAATGATACAAACATAAGTTTACATTTACCATCACTATTCCTCTGATTTTGAAAGCCATGTATGATATTGTACTCTACAAACTTCAATAAGCTTTTCCCACTTTAATCGTCCATTTTCTTACTTACTATTAATTCTTGATAAATAGATGATGACTTAAACGAATGTATATTTATGCATCTCAGAACGTGACAATTACCATTTATTTTATTATTTTGTTGTAAAATGGTACATGTTACTTATTACCGTTGAGTAGTACGTTTGTTTAAAAAATTAATGGAGAACGATTATCAAGATGTAAACATTTCCCAGAATATATGTAATATATGTAAATATCTTCAGTAGTCTAGAACAATGATAGCTTTCATAGTATTCACTAACTCGGATAAGATTCACTACATGTGAACATCTGAAATACAGTTATTTGATATTTATCTCAATTTATTACATCATATATTTCCAGATTAATATTCGCAATAAGACAGGAAACATTTAAGAGGACACATGTGTACAATAGCTTCATCATTAGGCTCCATAGTTATGAACCCACTAAGCATTTTTATCTGATAAAGCTTGATTAAATGAAGATCCTTGAGTAATGTGAATGAATTACCTATTTCAAATTGATACTAGCCAGTCATGTCATGAAACTCCGCCTGGACTCCCTCAGGGGACTACTGCTGGTCCCGAGCCCGGATAAAGGAGGAGGGTTGGGCATGGGGTTAGTGTCCCCATCTCGTAGAAAACTAACTCGCAAAAAACCTCCAACCAGAAAAAATTACTCAAACTTTTTAAACTCTGCGCTGGGAGTCAGAAGGTCTCCATTTAGAAGAGTTTTGACGCCTCATGATGAAAGCTGAGTTCCTCTGGAAGTCACGAGGCCGATGCCCCTTCTGACAACCAGAGCAACCATTTATTTGGGTACATAGAATGCTCGTACAACGTGGGAGACCGGGAGAGTCTTCCAAATTGCTGCAGAAATGAGGAGATACAACCTAGAGGTGCTTGGGATCAGTGAAACTAATTGGACTCAAGTTGGACAAGAACGACTAGCTTCAGGGAGCTTCTGTTATACTCCGGCCATGAAGGAGAAAATGCACCACATACACAAGGAGTTGAATTGATGCTGTCCAAACAAGCACAAAATGCACTTATAGGATGGGAATCTCATGAACCAAGGACCATCAAAGCCTCCTTCAAAACAAAGAAAGAGGGCATTTCAATGAACATCATCCAATGCTATGCACTTACCAACGACTACAATGAAGACGCTAAAGATCAATTCTACAATAGGCTTCAGTCAATCATCGAGAAGTGCCCAACAAACGACCTGACCATTCTGATGGGAGATTTAAATGCCAAGGTTGGGATGAAGAACACTGGATATGAAGACATCATGGGACGACACCGAATGGGAGAAAGGAAGTAAAGTTGTGAGAGATTTGCAAACCTATGTTCTTTCAATAAACTGGTCATAGGCGGCACCATATTCCTACATAAACGCATTCACAAAACCACATGGACTTCACCGGATCACACTATGCAGAACCAAATCGACCATATCTGCATCAACAAAATGTTCAGGAGGACGATGGAGGACGTGAGAACCAAGAGAGTAGCTGATATAGCATCAGATCATCACTTGCTGGTCGCCAGGATGAAATTGAAACTCAAGAAGCACTGGACAACAGGCCGGACAATATCACAAAAGTTCAATACGGCTTTTCTTCCGGATACTGACAAACTCAACAAATTCAAGATAGCCATCAGCATTAAGTTCCAGGCCTTTCACGATCTACTCAACGGAGAAGGAACTACTATGGAGGAGAGCAACTGGAAGGGGACAAAGAGGCAATCACTTCAACATATCATGAGGTTCTGAGCCACAAGAAGCACCATCACAAGGAATGGATCACTGTTGATATACTGGATACGATTCAAGAAAGGAGGAGCAAGAAGGCAGCAATCAAAGCCATCTGAACAAGAGCTGAAAAAGACAAGGCACAAGCTGAATACACAGGCGTAAACAAGCAAGTGAAGAGGAGCATCAGAATTGACAAACGTAAATATGTGGAAGATTTAGCAATGACGGTGGAAGAGGCTGCAGGAGAAGGAAACATGAGAGAACTGTATGACATAACAAAGGAACTCTGTGGAAATCACCGTAAGCCAGAACGACCAGTGAAAAGCGAGGAAGGCAGAGTAATCACCAACATTGGAGAACAACGAAACAGGTGGGTAGAACACTTCAAAGAACTCTTGAAATGACCATCTCCACTGAACCCACCCAACATCGAAGCAGCACCCACGGACCTCCCAATCGATGTTGGCCCACAAACAATTGAAGAGATCAGTATGGGACCAGACAAATCAAGAGTGGCAAAGCATCAGCAGAGACACTGAAAGCAGACATAGCGGTAACTACAAGGATACTCCGCCTTCTCTTCAATAAGATTTGGGATGAGGAACAAGTACCAACATATTGGGAAGAATGACTTCTGATCAAAATACCGAGGAAAGGCGATCTCAGCAAATGTGATAACTACAGGGGCATCACTCTTCTCTCAATACAGGGAAAAGTTTTCAACAGGGTATTGTTGAACAGGATGAAGGACTGTGTAGACACCCAACTTCGAGACCAACAGGCAAGATTCCGTAAGGATAGATCGTGTACAGACCAAATCGCAACTCTACGGATCATTGTGGAACAATCAATTGAATGGAATTCATCACTCTACATCAACTCCATTGACTACGAGAAAGCACTTAATAGCGTGGACAGAACAACACTATGGAAGCTTCTTCGACACTACGGCGTGCCTCAGAAGATAGTCAATATCATAGAGAATTCCTATGATGGATTGAACTGCAAAATCGTGCATGGAGGAGAGTTGACAAAGTTGTTCGAAGTAAAACCGGTGTCAGGCAAGGTTGCTTACTCTCACCCTTTCTCTTTCTCCTGGTGGATCGACTGGATCATGAAGACGTCAACATCTGAAAGGAAGCACAGGATACAATGGACATCAAGGATGCAGTTGGACGATCTAGACTTCGCAGATGATCTGGCCCTCCTATCGCAAACGCAACAACAAATGCAGGAGATGACGACCAGTATATCAGCAAACTCAGCAGCAGTAGGTCTCAATATACACAAAGGGAGAAGAAAGATTCTCCGATACAACACAGCATGTACCAATCCAATCACAATTGACGGAGAAGATGTGGAAGATGTAAAAGCCTTTAAATATTTGGGCAGCATCATTGATGAACAGGGTGGATATGATGCAGATGTGAAGGTGCGGATCGGCAAAGCAAGAGCAGCATATTTACAACTGAATGACGTCTAGAACTCAAAGCAACTGTCAACCAACACCAAGTTCAGAATTTTCTATACAAATATCAAGACAGTTCTACTGTATTGAGCGGAGACTCAAAGAACTGCGACAACCATCATCCACATGATACAGGTGTTTATTAACAGTTGTCTATGCAAAATAATTCGGATTCGTTGGCCAGACACTATCAGCAACAACCTACTGTGTGAGAGAACAAACCATAGTCTAGAGGATGAGGAAATCAGGAAGAAGCACTGGAAGTGAATAGAACACGCATTGAGGAAAGCACCGAACTGTGTCAGAACGCAAGACCTCACATGGGATCTTCAAGGCCAAAGGAGAAGAGGAAGACCAAAGAACACATTGCACCGAGAAATGGAGACAGATATGAGAAGAATGAACAAGAATTAGATAGAACTAGAAAGGAAGGCCCAGCACAGAGTGGGTTGGATAATACTGGTTGACGGCATATGCTCCATTGGGAGTAACAGGCGTAAGCAATTAAGTAAGTAAGCCATGTCATGAATAAATAATAATAGGGTTTTCAATTGTTATTCTGAGCTTAAGACTACCAAGTCATTATAAAAATTTTGGATCCCCAACAGATTTTGTGAAATGAATTGGGGCTAAAATGTATAATATTGTTCAAATGTCTTGTGAATTTGATAGGAACCACTAGTTTAGTAAGTATGTATTTCTGCTAAATTATTGGTATTGTAGTAGAATCATTTTCGTTTGGTATTGTACTTTGAATTTACGAACCTGAGAAAGAGTTTTCAACTTTTAAAATTAGGGAGAATAGTTATGGTTAGCGCATTTTTTATCATGATTCTTTCTTACGGTGTTGAACTATTAACTCTATGCACAACTCTCTTCCATTAGTCAGGTTTAAGACCAAGAGTGACTCTAGAAGTTCTCAAGGTGGGGTTCAGTGGTATAGTATTCTTGGAAAGTTTTAGTATTGAAGAGGTGAAATCGATTTTAGAGGAATTTTACTGGTGATTATTAAATTGTTTAACAATGCCTCGTGAAGATTTGAAGTCATGTCAAATACTGTGAAGCTGGGTCACGCTAGTTCAAATCCTAAAGGAAGCATTAGTTCTCTCAAGACTACAAATAAGTATTACATTAAATTACATATTTAGCTTAGATATTTGAATAGTATCATTTTCATTTGAAAAATATGATTGTCTTATCACTTATAGACGTTATATTTTGTAAAATAAATAAAAGTTTTTGTAATTGACAATAGAACTATAAACCATGTCATATACATACGCATCTTCATGCCATTGATTAAATTTAGAAATGATGGTCCAAATCACAAATGAGCTAGCAAACCTTGTTAATCATTGATAAACTTATTATTCACTAGATAGACTTTTAAACTTTCATAAACCTATTGGAATAGTCCAAAAGTTACAATACTGAACGATACTAACACGAAAATGCGTTAAAATATTTGTTTTGTTTTGACTATGAAAATCTTCTGACACTATGAAGGTCGTTTGATATGTATGTGGTTAGTTTAACCAATCCTCCTACAGTTACATGTTCATCTTAACCAACTAATTCAATATGCTAGTGACATTAACAAAAAAATCAATCTATGGTCTGTTGAATTGAGTCAGCTTGACAAATGGATTTGGATGCTTTTAATCGCTCTGAGTGGAACGATTCTCAACATCCTCATACAAGACATCCGATAATGACATCTAAGGGATGTCCAGAAATACCATCTCCTAATTCATCATCAGGAAGCTCAGTGGATTCAAGCACAGATGGATGTACAGAAGAAAAAATGGGATCTAAAATGAGTGAGTATCCTGGACAATCAGAAACAAATTTTAATCAGATACCGGTCAGTGCACAAGATAGTTTCTCCGACCACAGTCTGAACAATTCAGCTGGTCCATTTTCAAGCCAACAAGGTTATACAAATCCTTCTTATAGCAATAATCCATCTGCTACATCATATCTACCAGGTACAACCTCATTCAATATCGATTATGCACGTCAAATGCAAAGTCCTTATATTTCTGGAAATCCCAATTCACAAAATCTCCAAACAAATTATTGTCCAACTATACCACCATCAGGTGGAAGTTCATTTGGTAGCAACCCAGTGAACACGAATCAAGGATCTGTATACCCGATGTTTAACGATTTCCCTACTCCGATTTCATCTCAGTCGAATGAGTTTTCTGTCTCTTCCAGAGTTTATGGGTTCGCTGAATCAGCTCCACACGAAGATATAGTATGTTGCCATTATTAATATTGTTATTGTTATTAGTTGAATAATTAGTTTCGTTCGAACAGCTCTCAAGTCATTTTATTTGACTGTTCAATGAATTAACTGTGCACATAACTTTTGAGTCACAATCCGAATTTATTTTACTTGTGTGGTGTATAGTCTACAAATATTTCCACTACTTTCCTCTTCATGACTTCATGGCCTATGAATTTGTGAACGTTGGTAGAATTCATGAATTTCATGGCCTTCTTTCCCGTATTAAGTGAGTGGATTGGTCGAGTGAGGAATTGGTCGGCCTAGATAATCTGGAAATACGAACATCATTGTAGGGGTTATTTTTATGAACAGACGTAATGTACAACACAAAGCTCCCATAATACCTGAACATATTTCCAGTCGATTTTTCATTTCTTACTTGATGCAGTTTGAAGAATTCGGCGTGTTTTTTTTTCAATCAAAGCAGTAAATTATCATAACTCAGACAAATGTTGGTAGTTGATTCAGTCTATTTATTAACTTTGTATAAATTCTTTAATATAGGCATGTCGTTACAAACATACCAGGCTGCTGTTGAGTAATGCTGAGTTGTCAGATAGTCGTCACATGTGTTTACAGAGTAGTTTCGAATTTATTTTTACCACATAATGCGATATTAATCACAGCTGTTCTAATGTGATAGATAATTAGAAGCATTCGAATTGATTCGCTAACTAGGAATTCGCGAAATAGTGCAATTTAAGACAGGTGGAACCAGATGAGCATAACTGGATGTATTACATTAGTAATTCGCAATGAGCGCACAATCAAGTACAAATGAATCATCGGTTAGTACAAACACCAATTCTAATTATGATCAGTCGACTGAGATCACCTGAATTACCTAGATTGGATGTTGTAGGCTATCGAAATTATCACTAATTTATATTGTTGGGTTATTTATTGTGAATGTGAAGAAGATTGTTTGTATTATATGATTGTCAAAAGTTGTTAACATGGAAGTAACATTAAAAGACACTTTCTGCATTATATCTATCCATCTCGTCACTTTTTATGTATTTTAAAATCATTGCCATTTGTTCATCTTACAAGTGAGAGAAGGTCTGTAGCAGATTATTTTTATGTTAACAAGAGTTTTTGAGATGATTATTTTATTCAGTTCCACTTGACTAGTGTGTTCAACTTGAGTATATATTCACATGTGTATACTGTACATGTGAGGAACAAAAGCAAAAGTAAACGATTCTAAATCCTAAGATCGTTTGAGTATATTGAACATGGTCCATGCACTGACGAATCTTGTAAAATCCAAGGTTATTTCAAATTAAATTATCATATCCATATGCTATTGTTGTCATTGCGTCTACTTTATATTTATTTCATTGAAATATGTTGGTCATTAACTCAAGTGAGTGACAAATATTAAATAAACAATACATGCAAATGTAAAGAATTTTAGTGGAACGAATCGATACTCTTTAGGTTGTATTCATCAAAGTTGATCTCGGTTGGGATACCACTGAAAAAAGAGCATCCTAATTTGGGATTCCTGAACAGTACGAACCTTCTGTTCTCCAGGTTTTCAATGATAGCTCGACGAATACAAATTATAAATTAAACCACAAAACCATTTTTCTTGAAAAAGATTGGACCAGATTGCCAGGCGAAACGTTGGATTTAATTCAATTCTTCCGCTGAGATTTTACAAATATGTATTATTCCTCTTTTAATGACTCACATTAACTCGGCGTCCAAATATTGTGAAACTATTCGTTCAAATTTAGACGAAAGTTCTTATTTATTATTCTGCCTTTTAACTAGATTCTACAATTTACTTACTTGTAAATATCCATTCTTCTAATGTTAGATGAAACCAACATTAACACCTAAAGGAAATTTCTGTGTTGAACATGACTGTGAACGTCTGCAGAGTGCTCTGGATAGATTAAAGATAAGAGAAAAAGAAATCGTTGAAGTAATGGGTCGTCGACCTGTTGTTCAACGTACAGCGATTCTACAAAAATATAAATCTCTGTATAAGGACAATTTATTCGCCATATTTAATTCTAAATTAACTGGATATTTAAAAGATTGTCTGATTGCGTTGTGCTATACACCAGCAGAATTTGATGCAATAGAACTTCATAGAGCAATGAGAGGAACTGATACTGATGAAGATACAATAATTGAAATTCTTTGTACAAGAACAAATGAACAAATCAGAAGAATTAAGAATGTTTATCCAAAATGTAAGTTATTAGTTTATAAAATGATCAAATATGTTTTGTATTTATTCTCAAAATTAAGATTGTCATGAGTTACTGAATATGGTGAGTAATTATGAGGAAGATTCACTGTGATTCATTTCAACTGTTTGAAATTTGTAAGAACTTCACGATAAACTGTTCTGCCGTGCGCATCTACGATCCTGCCTCGGGAGACTCGAACTCACGACTTATCAGTATCGCGCACGAACTCCTAACCTCTAGATTGCTGAGCTGGCTGGGGTTCAACGATGTTAATGTCTAACTTCAACTCATCCAGAAAATTGATCGACACGGCTGTGCAGTGCTTCCAGGTTTTCCATGGTGGTCTAGCTTCAATTGACTCATGATCTCAACTATTAAAATTACTATAATATTCACAACAATCCTTCCGATATAAATAAATAAATAAATGTTTATTCATTAAAATTTCAGTATTCGATGGATGTGATTTGGTGAATGATGTAAACAATCAGATTACACATCAATTCAAACATATATTCATGAGTCTATTAAAGGCGGATAGAGATGAATTTACATTTGTAGATAGAAATCTTGTACAAAGAGATGTAGAAGAATTATTTAATACAATACAACAAAACATTAGAATAGATGAATCAAAGTAAGTGTGTTGTTTATTCAACATATAATAGTTGGTTTAAGAAAATCTTACATAGCTGTTAATTAATTTATTGGATTTTGACTTGAAAACTCAATATTTACAGTTTTATAAGAGATTATATATTGAGAGAGGATTCAACTTGCAAGTAGTAATTTGCCATTGGACTATGTATTTGAATATAAATGCTTCATTCACTGAATGATGCTAATGGTAGGTAAAGAGTTTCAATCAAAGATGATAAGCTGATTAATGAAGTTGTGAACATGCATTGATTGACATATTTGGAACTTGTGTTACACATGATCCAACTATAAAATGAACAGATCTTTAAATTGGCATGGTGATAATTTAAAGAGGAAGACTAATAGAGCTCAAATGTAATCATCATGATGTGATTTAAAGTTATTAATAATCGTGCAAATAGAAACATTATCTCTCTTCTTACAAATGGTATCAGTGATTTGATTTTCTCTAACTATTCCAATATGAAACTCCTCCTGGAGCGGATTGGCAAAGCAAAAGCAGACTATTTACAACTGAAGAACATCTGGAATTCAAAGCGACTGTCAACCAACACCAAGGTCAGAATTTTCTATACAAATATCAAGACAGTTCTACTGTATTGAGCGGAGACTCAAAGAACTGCGACAGCCATCATCCACATGATACAGGTGTTTATTAACAGTTGTCTATGCAAAATAATTCGGATTCGTTGGCCAGACACTATCAGCAACAACCTACTGTGTGAGAGAACAAACCATAGTCTAGAGGAGGAAGAAATCAGGAAGAAGCACTGGAAGTGAATAGGACACGCATTGAGGAAAGCACCATACTGTGTCACAACGCAAGACCTCACATGGGATCCTCAAGGCCAAAGGAGAAGAGGAAGACCAAAGAACACATTGCACCGAGAAATGGAGACAGATATGAGAAGAATGAACAAGAATTGGATAGAACTAGGAAGGAAGGCACAGTACAGAGTGGGTTGGAGAATGCTGGTTATCACTGTCGAATATTATATGTGATTATAGAGTAATTGGTGGGAATGTGAACAAAATGATTGAATATTAGAGAACAAACTTCATGAATGATTGAAATGTGTTTGATTGAATCAAAACCATCTGAAATAGCAGGTAGAAGGTTAGAACTCAGTACCATAAAGTGTAATATAGGTTGGTCATATTACATACTTTTATTAACATATCTGTCCCATTATCTGAAAATGCCATCTGTTAAAGATTATCTGACTAAGTGAATGCAATGGTCCAACAAATAAGAATCAGTTTGATGCAACATACAGCGCAATCTTTCAGCAAACTCTTAAACATAATCCTTCTTTTTTCTTTAAACTTACCTATACATATTAGATTCATTCTTATATTGGCCTCAAGATCTTATGCTCACTTACGAGTTGTATTCAAGGAATATTTACGAATTTCTGAACAAACTATGGAAGATACTTTAAAGTTCAGAATGCGTGGAAATACACTCAGTGCTCTACTTTCTATGGGTAAGTAATGTTAAACATTTCTTTTCGAGAAATTGCGTGTCCGATTAATAATTATGACTTGAGTTAATCTAATTTGGGATTAGTTAATGCATTATGTAATCACTTGGGAATTAAATAGTAGTTGTATTATTCCAATTAATATCTGATTTGTGGTGAACAACTATAATCCCTGTATTGATTGGTCAGAGTTTGCTGTCCAGTGTCATGCTAGTTTGGTCGTTACTGTCTCCCAATTTCTATCGGTTGAGAAATTCTATTATTCGTATTAGTTTAAGTAAGTCAAATAGTGCATGCACTGCGTTTCGATGTAGTTTGTTTAAAAGTAGTCAGCGTGGAACCTTGGGACTAGGTTTCGTGCTAGTTGATACTCACTCATCAGCAAGGCTAGCAATCAGCAATAAGAGCTGGATAAAATGATACTGTTTATCATTTAGTTATTAATTACTGTGATTATATTAGCCGCGACCCAAATAACTCGTTGGTAACGCCCCAGAGACGGGTTCGAATCCCCCATGGTTTGAGGTCCCCTCAAGATTTCAGGTATGCCTTCCAAACAAACTATGGTAACAATGAAATCTAGATCCAGATTACTTAGTAGACTATCCCTGACTATTTAATTTGTCTATTCATAGCATCATAACTAGGTAATTGACTTATTTTAGTGAAGTCACCAAGTTCCTGTCCTACAATGAGGATACTCTCCAGAACATAAATCTTTACTTTACTTTGCTATATACTACAATAATGTTTGTATATGTTTATATAATGTTTATATAAATTCAAGTTCAAATGAGTAAATAGTTGAATGATTCACGCTTATTGACTGAAAAACAGAATTTATGATGCGATAAGATTAATTAATTCATGTAGTAACTTGAATGAGATTTGTTGTGGATGGACACGTACATGATCGATCAGTAAACTATTATTTATTTATTTATTTAAACTCATAAACATTGGTATAAGGAGGCACCAAACAGAGACTGCTCAGGTGCCCAAACCGCAGCACATGTTTTTCTTATGATGCCACATCCCGAGACTTTGACCTGAAGGTCTAATCCACAAGACAGTGGAGCAACGTAAGGAGATGCAGTCGCATGGTAGCCGGTCACCAACGACATCTTCATACGCCATTTGTTTCTTCAGAATCTTGAAGTCCATGTGCACAATTGGTTTGGAATCATGGTTTTTCAACTCCCTTAGGTAAACTCTCTGTGTTCACCAACCCGATTAAACCACCCAAAATTCACTTTTCGTCTTCTCAATTTCGTAAACAACACCCCCCGCCGCGAGAAGGCAGTGAGTAGTACTTGCCTGGCAGTGGTCGTATGCACGTGGTCATGTGAGAGCATTTCGGGAGGGAGAGCTGACTCTCACCATTCTCGGCCGTACCAGGGCATTTGTGGGTATCTGGTGGACGTGTCCACAGTGACAATGACGTCAGAGTAATAACATGCGTGCTGACACCGTGAACAGCACACTGGTCACTACGTCTGGCTCGTGTATTCGCTAAATGCCCAACATTCACTTTTCGTCCTCTCAATTTCGTAAACAACACCCCCGACGCGAGAAGGCAGTGAGTATATATGTTATGTATATATGGGACAGTTGATAACTGTTGGGAAAAGTTAGATGTTTTTAATGAAAATGATGTATAACTTAGTAACAGAAAATGGTTTAATGTTCATAATTCAATAAAAAAATACATAAGAAAATTAAAATAATAATGACCATTAAATTTTCTCTATTTTATTTATTTCAATCACATTCATTGAATTGGATTTCAGTTCGTTGTATACAAAATAAACCAAGATATTTTGCAGAAAAATTATTCAAAGCCATGCAATGTGCTGAAACAGCTGATAAAGCACTTATACGTATTATTGTCAGTCGTTGTGAAATTGATTTGAAAAATATCATGAATGAGTTTTATAAAATAAAAGGAAAAACTTTGGTTGATTGCATAGATGTAAGTGTGAATAATATTTATTGGATGATAATTTATTCTAATTTATGTCACTTTACTGCATGTTCAACATTGATGTATTTCTTTTAAATCACGAATGGACTGAAATAAGGCAACTCTTGGAAAACTAAGATCAATAGATGATCATTCTGTCCAATTATGTGACTGACTCCTCATCGGTATGAATCCAAGAGTCGGTAATCGAATACAGATATTTCGATATCACGCATAAACCTTTAAAATCTAGACGTATGTGACCGGATCCGAGGAAATACAAGTCTCATTTCAATCAATCTACAAACTTATACGGAAATCATCAAGTGTCTTCCATGAATACCAACAACAAAACAGAAACAAATAAAACCCAATAATTAGGCATTCTCATTGGAGAGTTCCATAGTTCGACGAAATAACAGTCCAGTGCTGTCAAATACTCATTAGTTGTCTGAATTGTATCAATTCGTGATTTTGATCGAGTTCAACTATCTTCACAAGCCAAATATGATGAATGATTTACATTCCACGGTAAACTTATCTGCTTTAGATTGAAAATTATTTTTCCGTGTTAATCTATAACCCATGGAAATCTGTATGAACAGTAGTGCTGAATATTACTGAGTATTATCGCTTCAACCAAATGCTTCTCGAAAAACTTCTACGTTCATGTCTAAGGGTGCACACATCACATTTGCAGTCTCACAGTCTATTGTTTCACCAAATTTCAAAATGTTTCCGAAAACAATGACAATTCTCACTTAGTCGAGTTTTTCTTAAAACAAGTTGTGTCAAGCGTTTTACAATGGTAAATACATTTAATCAGTGTTAAATAGAAATTGATTAGCTTGATCAGGGTGTGTTGCACCAGTAACCACGACTGAACCAATCAGCGTTAACATGATGAACTAGTATTTCAAGTTCAATGCATGAACTCATATCAAATGTTACACCTCTGACAGGTGATCGTGAACACAATGCACTCTTCAAGTGCTTAAAACACTTGAGTGTGGTAAGTAAGCGTTTGCTAAACCATCACTAATAAGAAATGGTGTAGTATGGACTTGGAATACGTGCTCGTCGTGATGTCAACTGTGTCTCAGATGTAAATCAATGTGAGTTGACTACTTTCTCATTTATTCAAATTAAAATCTCAGTGAAATCATGTGATCAGTATTGCACTGAACAACATCGATCCTGTGAAGTACGAATTCTAAAACTGAGAGAAATACACATATTTACGATATACAGTGCATTATATCGACGCATAACATTGTGAAACGATGTTGAATCGTCAATGTAGATTCATGGTGAATCTAGAAATGAATTGATTTGCTGCAACAGAATCAGTAGAAATTAATTGAACCTCATAAAGTTCTCATCAAGTGATCAAACGTGATAAAAGGAAATAATTTTACAAATTTTATTTCTCAAAATATTTTATTTCAGTATAATAGTTGGGGAATTTCAAATGTATTTATTGATCAAACTTTATGGAATGAAACACCAAGTAATTATCGTCGGCTCTTACTGAGGCTTACCAGGGGGTATTTATAGGATTAAAGTCGTCAAACAATTACGAAGTTATTCTGTAGACGTCAACGATTTCCGGCTTCACAAAATACATTTGTTGACATCGTTCGATTCACATCTAACAAAAGCCATTTCCTCCTTTAACAAGAATTGTATTAACAAATGAAAACATTATTATTCACACTTATTTTCTCCCTTATCTCCTCTCTCTCTCTCTTCCGTCTCTCTCTCTCTCACTCTGTCTTTACCCTATACTCCATTTGATTGATCTCCTAACGAAATGTAGTAATAAGATACGTTCGCTTAACTATTCTGCTTAAATGAATACAATTATTTTGTTATAAGATCGATTTGTTCAAGTTTTCATTGAGAGGAGTGAGTGGTGTGAAGCAAATTGAAAGATATTAGTTTATTCAACTGAATGATCATTAGGTTGTTTATCATGAGTCCCCTAACATGTCAAATCGTAGAACAACAAAGGAAAGATAAATTCAGTGTTACTTCAGGACTTTTAAACAAATCATGCAGCAAATCGAACCGTGACTTCTTCGTGTTGTGTATTGACCAGTTAGAATGAAATATGCATGTTTTAGAATGCATTCTGTTTTCGACCTAGTAATAGACATTGATTAATCTGGTGAAGACCACCTCGTTGAACGAATGTATTTCCCTCAACTTCAGTTTACTTAACATTAATCCTCATCCTCCCAATAATATTTTGTGCTGATTGACAAATTATGTATACTTCAATAAAGTAATTGATAACTGTATTCCAGATCAGTTTGATTGCTAAATACTTGAGAGTGCATTATCCTATTTCTTCTACCAATCTGAGTCCATTCACTGATAATTAAACTGAAACATCTGTCAGTCTACACTGATCTGATGGTTGATATCAGTTTACAGTGGGTATTATTCACCATCTACTTAAATCTCGTAATTACAACACAATCAGGATGATAAGATTATTGTCATAAGTTCCCGTAATAGAAACGACATGATCGAATGCTCACATAATAATAATAGATTAACCAGTTAGCATAGTCAACAGAAATCCTAACACCATATTGGATGTAAATTCCTCTATCATTGATATTTTCTTCATTAAGATGCGTCTTTCCCCTTCAATTAATAAATGATCTGGGTAGAACTTGAAAACATTTCAATACTGGTAATTAAATTTTCAAATTGGATCAATTCAAAATGCAATCGAGCGGAATGACATGCAGTGGAGAAGGCGTGTGACCCAACACCCAGTTAGTCAACCGTTAATCAATAGTTATAGTCACACAAAAATCAATTACAGACAAATGACGAGTAATGGGATAAGAAGTGTACACACACATACGCTAATATAAGCAAAATCAAGGTTGATAATCGAATAATTAACAAAGTCAAAGTATGGCTCAAGAAGAATGAGTAGATTGGCCTCTCCGAAAGCTAGAATAAGGTATATGGGCTAAACATAATACATTACTTAATTAGGTTATGTTGCATTTTACAAGCTTATAGTGTATTGAACGAGAACACAAGTAGGGACAAGTAGATGTATTTGAACACAAAATTACAGAATAACTTAGTAAAATCTAAAATCCATACAGTAAACACTTCATTTGCAAAATGTCAATCAATCATCTCAGACTACACTGTGCCTTCATTTCCACAGCGATCATTCACTGTTCTCATTCATTTTCCTTCAATCTTCTTAACTTTCTGTTGCCAGATACTTCACTTCGATTGATGAAACATACTACTCATAGCTGTTGACATCAGTAGAACATATAACAATAGTACTTGAATGATTTTGTAACACTGTGTAAGCAGACTAGCACAGTAGATATATCGAACTGAATAAATTTAAATAACAAGTCGTGACTCAGAGCATTACTTGGCATAGCTCTTAAAAGGGAAGTGGAAAGCTTTCTATAGCTCAGTACGGGGCACTTGATCAACTCTGGCCACGTTTCTCCAAAATAGTCTTCCTTTTAAAGTAATCTATATAGTCAATGGGATTTGATCAAAGGGATGGTGAATTGAAAAACTGCACACTGTTGAGGAGTTGGCGATTCCGTCAATTCAAGCCCCAACTCCGCGTGCAAAAACGATACATCTAACCTCCCATCTTTCCTCGCCCCTTACTCCTTTCTCCAGTATGTCTTAGTCTTGTTTTGTTTTCATGATCTTGTAATTTTAATCCGTCATTAGTTATTATTGTCTTCTTACAGTTTTTCATGATTATTATTCAATTATCAAGACCTATACGTTTTTTTCATTTCTCATCTGTCAAGTGGAAAATTATTTTTCATATTTCTGATCTGTAAATCGTTTTCATCCACCATATTGTTCTCTAACTGCTTAATCATCACTACACAACCATCTTTTGGTATTCGAAATCATCGGATGTTAATTTATAAACAGAGTTGTTGCTTTCGATTTCTCTACTGCATATAAAGCTATCTCTAAAGTTTCATCTTCTTTGACTCATATTAGAATGTTGAATATGATTGCTAAAGTGTTGTTATGTGTCATAAATCCATACTGTTTGAATCCCAACTCGTCGTGTTCGTATTAGATGAAATCTCAATTGTTCATAAACAGGCCACGTCAAGCGGAAATCTCAATACTCAGTGGTGTTTACCAAGATTTTATAAACACACTTTTGTCATAGAACAATTAACAAGTTTAGAACAAATACAATAAAACTACAGTGAAATCGCGGTTTTGATGTGATAATCAATCCGTTGCATGTTAAATTATGTCTTATCTTAAAAGAAAAAGGTTGAGTTTGCATATAAGAACATGGGTTAGTGTTGTGTGTTACGGTTATAAACCTGTGAGGATTTTGTCACCACCTGACATCAGCTGTGATGCAATAATACTTCATCACTTCTTTTTCAGCAACTTAAAACATTAAATATTGAGATTTAGAATCAGGAATTAGAGTGGAAGGATATTATCTACTTACAAAAACACTCTTGACTGTACTCTGAAAAAAAAATTGCTTCAACACACAATGAACATCAGGAGCAGAGATCTCTTGTAATCTAACTTAAGTATCATATCATATTCACAATTTGGTTGCATGGTAGATATTTTTTAAAATCACTTTTAAACATTTAAGAAACCAAACATTCCCAGTTTTTTTACTTAGTAATAAAATATGAGTCATCTTTCACTGTGCTTTTAAATTCAAGAAAAAATACACGAGGTACTATCCTGATTCTTTCTGATACATTAAACGTAGTTAGTATTGTATACTTAACCATTACTTATTCTAAAACTACCTATACCCTCCAAGTTAAAGGAAGAAATGTAACACCTCATGATGCAAGCCGATATTCTTCGGAAGTCATGTGGCTGATTCTTCTTCTAACAACCAGAACGACAAATACTACAAGTACATGGGACGTCCAGAAAGTGTTGGAGACTGGGAGGACCAACCAAATATATGCGCAAATGAAGAAATACAACTTGGC